TTGTATCCTGTTAATGCCATGTATTAAGGCCTGTAGTGTTGGTCCTATTTTTTCTTCTATGAACTTTATAGTTTCAGGCTTTATATTCAGGTCTTTGATCCGCTTTGAAGTAGTTTTTGTATACGGTGTGAGGTATGAGAGGAAGTAGTATTTAAGATCAGTTAATCTGGCAGCACTTGTAGGGGCAGCTAGGAGACATCTGTAGTAATTTAAGGGTGGAGTGGTGGATTGGGAACAGAAACAAAAGGGAGAGGTTGATTTAAGAGAAAATTTGAAGGGAAAATAATTAATAGAATTTTGTGAAGAGAATGAAGTAGAAGTTGCTTCCAAACCTTTTGAGCCTGAGTCACGGTACGTGGTCTTGCCTTTCATTTGGAGCCAGAGGCTGAGATGGGGACAGGTTTACAGGAGGTAGAAGAATGAGTTTTCGTTTTGAATTGTTAACTTTGAGGTGATAGGCATTTGAGTAAAAGTGGTACCCGTGCAGTTGGAGACTGAGAAGTGAAGCAAGTTCTGTGAAAGGAATAGCTGTCTCATGGAGAAAGGCTGTGAAGGGAATGGAACACAGTGTGCCAGAGCTTTCACTGTGTTTCATTTGTAGGCATCTAGTGTTGATAAATTTGAACTATGAACTGGGCTTTCTGCTTCATAAAGTTTCAGTTCTATTACCTCAGGACACATTGATAAACCATAAAAAAAAAAAGACCCAAGCCAGTTGCCAACTCATGGCGACCCCATGTGTGTCAGAGTAGAATTGTGCCCCATTGGGTTTTCAACGGCTGATCTTTCAGAAGTAGTTTGCCAGGCCTTTCTTCCAGGGCACCTGTGGGTAGACTTGAACCTCCAGCCTTACGATTAGTAGCCGAGCTCAATAACCCTTTGCATCACCCAAGGACTCCTCACATTGACACATTGATACTGTAGCTATTTTTTTTACACTCTTTTGTTCCTGTTACCCTACTACCTTTAAAAAAAAAACATGATTTATAAACGTGAGACTTTTTTGGTTAGTTCTACAGTAAAACTTGGAAAAGCCAGAACCTTTGTGTCTCAGTCATCTAGTGCTGCTGTAACAGAAATAGCACAAGTGGATGGCTTTAACAAAGAGAAATTTATTCTCTCACAGTCTAGTAGGCTACAAGTCCAAATTCATGGTGTCAGCTCCAGGGGAGGGCTTTCTCTCTGTCGGCTCTGGAGGAAGGGCCTTGTCATCAATCTTCCCCTGGTCTAGGAGCTTCTCTGTGCAGGGACCTCAAGTCCAAAGGATGCGCTTTGCTCACAGCACTGCTTTCTTGGTGGTATGAGGTCCCCATGTCTCTCTGCGTGCTTCTCTCTTTTATATCTCAAAAGAGATTGGCTCAAAACGCAATCAAATCTTATAGATTGAGTCTTGCCTCATTAACATAATTGCCACTAATCTCACCTCATTAACACCATAGAGGTAGGATTTACAGCACATAGGAAAATCACATCAGATGACACAATGGTGGACAACCACACAATACTGGGAATCCTGGCCTAGCCAAATTAATACACGTTTTTGGGGGACACAATTCAATCCATGACACTGTGTAAAGTGGAAACCTGTCAGAGAAGGAAAAGTCAAATATTTCCTATTAAAGTGAGCCTTAGAAAAGTGGTAAGACTGTGCCTTGTTAAAGGTGAAAAACTTGGGAGACTCAGAAAAACAAGACAGTTCCATCAAGATCCTCTCACAGGTTTCTCTTTAATAGTTTGTGGATACGAAGAGAAGAGTATGCTAACGCTAGGGACTTTAAACAAGACCGAGAGAGCCAGGATATAAAAGCAGACTTCTCAGTTGATTAGAAAAATTATAAACTGGAGTTCTCAGCCCTGCTACAGGGTGGCCTTGGATCAGTGATGACAGCTCCATTCCTTATTGTACTTAGTAAAACCTACTTATGCCTCATAAGGTCTTTTTGAGTCTTAGCCAATACATTTAGTCACTGTCAGTATCCACAAGCTTTTAGCATAATATTATTGCTTGGTAAGGCAGCCAGGTCTCCAGAGCATGACGCTAGGCTTTTGTGTACCACTTGAAAGCTGTTGCTGAGGCACATCTTCTTGGTATTTCTCTTAGGACTTTGTTCTCCACAGTCTGTAGCATGTCCCTACCTGTAGATAACGGGATTGCGCAGATATCATAAAAGTGTATGTAGCTGTCTTAACAGGAAACAACTCATCCCTTGGGTGATGTGTGGGACAGTGAAAAATCCTTTGATGGTTTCCCATTATTTATGGTGCTGGTATGTTGGCTGACACATTTTCCCCCTGTGAATTGTGTTTTGAGTCCTTGGGTTCTTCAGTTTAATAGATAATGTCTCTATGTTTACCCCAGTGTAGAAGATGAGAGTCAAGTTAGCTGAAAAGTCCCAACGCTTTTCTGTCTCCATAAGGTTTCTCTGCCTATCGAGATAGCCAGGTTGAGAACTTAGGAAATGACTTTGAGTCCCGTTCAAAAGATTCATCAGCCCCTCTAATCAGTTGGATTTTAATGTGGAACAAAGTGATGAACTTTGCATTTATAAAAATTAACCCTTTGTTTATGGATCTAACAATGGTTTGGAACTCTGCTTCTTTGGTCACATGGTATGCATGCTTTAAAAGAGCTAGCCCACATCTGATCACATCAGAATAAAATAGTTGGGAAGACATCCACATATCATAGGTCATGTAGCTTGTGACAAGATTTAAAGCAGCAAGACCATAGGACACCAGATTATCGTTATTTTTGCAGAGAATGTTCCACTAGCTGGTTTGAAAGAAGCAAGAGTTAAATCCCTGTTCAAAGCTTCCCCTTACCTCATTTACCTTAAACAAAAGTCCTAACAGGCAAACTATAATTGCCTGAAACAAAATTAGCAAGGCACAAATGAATGTGGAAATGAGACAGTTGTCACCAGTCAGTGCCATTACCTAAGCATCCTAGGTCTGGTAACTATTCTTTTGGGATGGAATAATAAGCTAACTTTATCTATAGGATCTCCTTCAAATAGGTCTTTGAATGAGTGCTGAGAATTTGCATTTCTAACAAGTTCCCAATTATACAGAAGAATCACCTGGGGGTCTTGTTAAACTGGAATTCTGATTCAGTATATCTGGGGTGGAAATGCAGATTCTCAGCAGGGAACTTGTTAGAAATGCACATTCTCAGCAGGGGTTTGAACTGGCTCAGACCGGTTTGAAGCCCTGCTTCAAAATACAAAGAAAAACAGTCCAGGATACCGTAGGGATACCAGATATATTAAAAATACTTTCTTACATTTTTAGAGCTGGTTGAATTTCACTAGTGGATAGAACTTGTTTTTATTATATATATATTTGTTATTTTTGTAGTACAATTTTAAAATCTTATTTTTTAAAAATATATTCAGGAGCTATCCGGTCTTATGCATTGGAACTTAACTTGACGGATTCAGAAAAAGCTACCTGCCTTTATGCAAAATGGCAGATGAATTTCAAAATACGCTATGAAACTACAAGCAATTATTATGTAAGTAAACATTTCTCTTTGGGTTTTATAGTAGGAATTTAATTCTGACTCTTTTTTTTATAATCTTTTAAACACATTTATACAAATAAGATTTCATCTGTTGACTAACTTAGCACTTAAAATCTGTTTTTTTAAAACATATACACTTGAAGATATTCTGTTTAGTGCTGAAATGAATATTTCTTCTAATTCATGGGTTCTTTGGAGTTTTTCTTGGAGTTGGTTAAAGGCAAATGATCTGAAGACCATATAGTGTTCAAGTCTAACTACTTATGTGATGTTTTTAAAACATACTAACATCAAAGCTTGCCCTTTTTTAATAGCTGATTATTAAAATCCCCTTTATTTTGTTCTCCTCAGTCCTTTTTTAAAATAATTTGTTATTTTGTTGTTGTTGTTGAGAACATACACACAAAACGTACACCAATTCAGCCGTTTCTACGTGTATAATTCAGTGACACTGATTACATTCTTTGAGTTGTGCAGCCATTCTCACCCTCCTTTTCTGAGTTGTTCCTTCCTCATTAACATAAACTCACTGTCCCTTAAGGTTCCTATCTAATCTTTCAAGTTGCTGCTGTCAATTTGATCATATACACATAGATCTTAAGAGAGCATATGCTCAAGGCAGACCTTTTTTACTAGTTAAGCTAAACCATTGTTTGGTTTTAAGAAGACTTCAGGGGATATTTTTGGTTTAAGGTTTAAAGATTATCTCAGGGCACCTCAGACCTTTTGCCTTCTTATTTTCTTTTCGTTAAGGTCCTGTCGACTTACAACCTAATTTTTAAAAAATCAGTTTAAGAACAGCAGTTCAGGCCAGTCCCGTTTCCCTTGATGTCATATGTAAATTTGTCTCAAGGACTGGTTTGTAGCTGAAGAATCTGAGACTGGTTTGTAGAGCAAACCAAGCAAAGGGTAACCTGGCTATGGGGGTTGTATGATTTAAACGGAAGTGTCCCAGCCTGCATACATGTGTGGTACTCATTGCTGTCTTTTTGTTCCCTGCCTCCAAACTTCTTGTTTTTTTAGAAAACCGTAACCATTGCAGACAATGGCACCGCAGCATATAACGGAAGCATTTGTGGTGATGACCACAGTGGTCCCAAAATAGCAGTACAATTTGGATCCAGTTTTTCTTGGAGTGTGAATTTTACGAAGGAGATGACTACTTATTCAATTGATAGCATCTTGTTTTCCTACAACACTAATGACAGCACAACATTTCCTGAAGCTAAAGATAAAGGTAACCTTTAGAATTGGATTCATGTTATGTTCTTTTGCTTTCTATTAATAATACAAATGTAAATAATTTAAAAATCATCGTTATGCATGCCTGTCTTCCTAACAAGATAAGAAACATCACGTCTTCCCCGACAGCCTATGCACGGTACAGTGTTCAAGGTAGTGATGATATTTGCTGTCATTGCTTGAGTGCTTTATTGTGTACCAGGTATTACCCTAGGTGTATTACCTGCAGCATCTCACTTAATCCTTAATGGTAATCCTGTGAAGCAGATATTATCTCAGTTTTACAGGTAAAGGGCTGAGGCTTGATGAGATTCAATGACTTTCCCAAAGGTCACACAATCTAGTAAGTGAATGAGATGGTGTTTGAACCAAAGTCTGTTGAGCTACAGCGTTCATGTACTTGCCCATCATTATTTATTTATTATTCACTAGTGGGCATTCAATAAATGTTAACTGAATGAGAAAATCCTTTAGTAAAAACAAAATGTATACAAATTCAGGAACCGGAGACCAGCAGAAATGCTTAATCTTCAAGTCTTTTTACCATTTAGATAGGATCTTAACTGAAAAGTAAATGATGGTTAATTAAAGGTAAAATGACAGAAGTCAGCATTTGCTATTTTGAGACAGATTCAGGTCAAAATCAACTTGGAAAGGCATTGGCAATTAGGCCATTCTTGTAATTCCCAGAACTGAAATGTGTATTAAGACATTTTGAAGGCATGGATGGTGGAGATTATAATTTTACTAGGGATGTAATTCTTTCCTTTCTTCCCCCTCATCAAGATTGGGTTAACATGGTGTTTGTAGTAGCTTAGCTCTTCTCACAGATAGCATTTCACTTTGACCCCAGAAACACAGGTGGATGGGCTTCAGCTGCTCAGGCCTCAAGATGAGCGGCTCATTAGGATATCAAAGGATCACATTTTAAAGACCCAGAAGTGAATGAGTGCATGTAAAACTTGGGAGGTGTCGAAGGCTGAGACTTAGAAAGCAATCCTAGTTTTCTTTTTACTGATCTGTTAATTTGAGAGGATAACTAAGACAAGTGGTTATTGGTTGTCTTATGTATTTGGCTTTGTGCCCTGCATTGTCATTCAGAAGTAGCATAGTATTCACCCTTCACTCTCCAGAAGCATAAAAACTAATTGGAGAGACAAAGCTAAATTATTTTCCCAAGTTATGGAAAAAGATGGTAAAACATTAAGGTCAGTGTGATTTTTGTGTGTGTGTTTTTGTTTGGGAGTAGAGGGTTCGTAAATCTTTTCTGAAAATCCGAGGAAAGCTATACCAAACCCAAGACTGAAGCCACTGCCATCGAGTCGATTCCAACTCATAGCAACCCTACAGGACAGAGTGGAACTGCCCTGTAGGGTTTCCAAGGAGCAGCTGGTGAATTCGAACTGCCGACCTTTATTGGTTAGCAGCCAAGCTCTTAACCACTGTGCCGCCAGGGCTCCAGGAAAGCTGTAGACTCTCCCAAAAAAGAAGAAGTGCATAGTAAACTTTGCCTATGGTTCCGTAGTCCCTGATTAACCACTGTGCCACCAGGGCTCCAGGAAAGCTGTAGACCCTCTAAAAAAAGAAAAAGTGCATGGTAAACTTTGCCTGTGGTTCGTAGTCCCTGAGCCCATCTACGACTCCATCTGATTGGGAGTCCCTGATTTATATGTGTTCTAACAAGTGGTTCTGATTAGGAGCAGAAAGACAAGAGAGGTCAGTGTGTTGAAGGAGTCAGAAAGCTTGGTAGGATAAGTAGGACCTGAGCTGAAACTCGGCTAATGGTCAAATTTGAGTAAGCAGAGAATTTTGCAGCAGGCTACTTCCAGCAGGGGGAAGCATGGTATGAGCAGCAGTAGCTGGAGCTGCCTGATTAAAATAGAGGCTGTGTGTATGTGGGAGGAGGAAAATAAAGTTGGCTAGGTGCAGTGGGCCTAAATTACCAAGGGCCTTGAAGGCCAAAGAAAGGCATTTAGCTTGATGGAGTAGGCACTGGGGAACCATTTTACGTTTTTAAGCAGGAAAGCGATATAACAAAAGCAGAGGCAGTAGTTCATAAAAAAAATTCTGCAGGATTAATTTGGAAGTGAGGAGAGTGCAGGCAGGGATGCCAGCTTAAGAGGCTGTTATAGCGATCAAGGGATGATGTAATAAGTGCCTGGGCCAAGAAGGTAGCTGTAAAAATGGAGGAGGGGGTTAATCTGACGCCTGGTTGGAGGAAACTGTGGACTCTAAAATGTTAACACCTATCCCTCCCCCCTTTTATCTTAAAGAAGGGGAAGATAACAATATTTTATTACTAGTTTCTATGTAATAAATTATTTTAAACTATTTGGGATTTAAAATGACTTCCTAAATGGACTTGATGATTGTTTTTGAAATAAACCACTATTTTATTTTTAGGCATCTGATTATTGAAGTGTAACTCCGAAGCGCCTGTTTTTTTTTTTTTTTTTCCCCAACTTTTCATGATTAAAATACAGAAAGGTACAGGAGGGTACTACAGTAAACCCAGATGAACCCATTACCCAGAATTAGTAATCATTTTTTAGTATTTGTTTTATCTTTTTATTTATTTAAATAAACACAGATGCACTTAAGGTTTCCTGCATACTCACTCCCCAGTTCCATTGTTCCCCTCCCCTCCCTGGAGGTAAGCACTGTCATGAATTTGTTGAGTATTCTTCCTGTCAGTGTGTTTATATTTTACTACATATGTATATATCTGTAAAGGAGCCCTGGTGGCGCAGTGGTTAAAGCACTCAGCTGCGAACCAAAAGGTTCGTGGTTGGGACCCACCAGCCGCTCTGTGGGAGAAAGACGTGGCAGTCTGCTTCCATAAAGATTACAGCTTGGAAACCCTATGGGGCAGTTCTACTCTGACGTATAGGGTCGCTATGAGTCAGAACCGAGTCAACAGCAGTGAGTTTGGTGTTTGGTTTTGGTATACGTCTGTAAAGGATGCATAATTTAAAAAGAAAACTTTTATAGTTACATAGTGTAACTCTATTATAGCTACAAATTGTTTTTTTTACTGAATTTGTTTTTGAGATCTATCTGTATACAGTAAGTTCATTTATGTTTACTTACGTGAACTGTCAAAAACAGTTTTAGGAAAAATGTTCTAGTTCATTAGTTAAAAAAAATCCTCTTAGCCATCGTGGGGTGGGGGTGGGGCAAGGTAGCATTAATTGGCTGCCTTGCTACATGATGGAGAAGTACAGAAAGCAGCCTGTGTTAAGGACCTTGAATACCTTCCTTGCTGCTTCTCCAAAAGAGACTAAGCCACTTGTGTGAATAAGTGTGATCATAGTCATTTGAGGTACACGTGTGTGCGATTTTTCCCAAGTTTCGCTGTCGGCATTATAATAAAAAGTCTGAATCTGTACAGAATTGCTGTTACTTACTGGTTTCGTATTCTGAAGATTTCCTGAAATGGAATAGTCTTTAAATTATGTTAAGAGAGAGCTTCTATAAGCTCATTATGGCTGTTATAACTAATTTGAGGAAATTGACAGAAAAAAAAGGATATACTATAAAACCTTTGATTAATCCACCTATATTCTTCCTTGTTTAATCACCAGGTCCTGTTGATTCTACCTTAGATATGCATCTTTCATTTGGCTTCTGTGCTGTCTCCCTGTGGCCCCTTATCGTCTTAGTTTAGGTAACCCCTCGCCTTTCACCTTAACTAGGTCATCAGCCTTCTAACTGGTTTTCCTCTTAAATAGCTTCCCTTAAAAAGTTTTTTCCCATGCCTGTCTGCTACAATTTTGTTATCTTCCTTAAAATAAGTGTTCTTTATTTCCTGCTTTAAAAGCTGAAGCTAGACCTCCATTGCTAACAAAATAAAGCCCAAACTCTCCTTAGATAATAGAAAGTGCTTCAAAGTGTGACCACCCACTTGCAACTTGTCTTTTTCTTTTCATTCCTCTTAACTTCCTCCCCCTTAAACTCCCTGCATTCCAGTGTTCCAGTTGCCGTAGTAAATTTGGCATTCCCTGAACATGGGATGCCTTTTGTCATTTGGGGGATGAGGTGGAGCAGACAGAGAGAAGGAGAAGGAAGTCTATATAAATATATTTATATTGACAGCTTTTTCCTACCTGCTTGGAAACAACTATTGTCAATCTTGTTTTATAGGAATTGTTACTGTTTATGAACCTGTGGCAATTAAAATTCCATTGAATAACGCCTTTAGATGCAAGAGTTTATCAGCTTTAAAAAAGAATGATGTTGTTCAGCAGTACTGGGATATTCTTGTACAAGCTTTTGTCCAAAATGGCACAGTAAGCACAAAAGGTGAGTACTTTAAGTTTATATTTCTATACTTGAGTCCTAATTTAAGATTAGAGTGTACCTTACAGCTTTAGTCGAAGTCGTTATCTGAGAGCCTTTATATATTAAGACTTATTTGTAGCTTGCAGACTGTGAAGTTTGTTTTGTTGTTATTGACTGTAAAGTTTTTTTTTTTTTTTTTTTGTAAATAATAGCAATTCTTATTCTTGTGGAACTTGCAATTCTAAGTTTATGGTGTACATGTCGTGGAATGGTCTTTCAGAACCTCTACCTTTAGTATTTCAGCTGATGAAACATAATCTTTAAAAGCAGATCTCAAATAGCTTGTTCATCAGGTCTTTAACAGTTCTAAGGCCAAAGTTTAGAAAGTAGATTTCTGTGTTCTAATCTTTAATTTTGTAACTTTCGTATGAGTTTATGGAATCCCTGGGTGGTGTGAACAGTTAAGCACTCGGCTACTGACTGAAAGGTTGGCAGTTCGGATCCACCTAGAGCCACCTTGGAGGAAAGTCCTGGCGATCTGCTTCTGAAAGATCCCAGCCATTGAAAACTCTATGGAGCACAGTTCTACTTTGACACACATGGGGTCGCTGTGAGTCGGAACTGACTTGATGGCAGCTGATTTGTTTTGTTTTGGTTTATATGACTTTATGGAAATGTAATAATTTCTCATTCACCAGTTCTGGAAAACTACCAACACTTCCTAAGAAGAGGTTGAAATACCTGTTATCTGTTGTAAAAAAAAAAAAAAAATTGCTGTCGAGCCGATTCCGACTCATAGCGACTCTATAGGACAGAGTAGAACTGCCCCATAGGGTTTCCAAGGAGTACCTGGTGGATTCAAACTGCCAACCTTTTGGTTAGCAGCCTAACTCTTATCCGCTATGCCATAAATAAACATAAATAAAAGGTTCATTTGTATTTAAATTCTTTGTGTGATTTCTAAAGTTTTTTCTGGTGGATAGTATCCTTCCTTATAGTGGTTGTACATAGGGAGGGACAAAATATTTTCAAACCTAAATCTCTGAATTTCACTCAGAAGCAGGTGAAGTGCTTTGGGAATAAGGGATTTAAGGGTGTGAAAAGACAGGCGCGCAGCCAGATGTGAGTAGATAAAGCATTTCTGTGTGTCCTGAGCTTGTCTGCTGTATCTTACTCTTAGAATTGGTCTGCTTATAAAGCAACAGTTTGAGCACTTCTGTCTCATTTAGTTTAAAATATGTGAACAAAATATTCCCTTCCTCTAATATAATCCTCTTGGACTTCTATTGTGAGAAATATTTTGTTCCTGCTTGGCCTTAGGATTTGAGAAAAAAGTCTATTTTGTCCTTTTTTTTTTTTTTTTGCTTGTTTTAGAGTTTCTGTGTGATAAAGATAAAACGTCAACAACAGTGGCACCCGTCATTCACACCACTGTGCCATCTCCTACTGTAACACCCACTCCAAAGGGAAAACCAGAGGTTGGAACCTATTCGGTTAATAACGGCAATGGCACTTGTCTTCTGGCTACCATGGGGCTGCAGCTGAACATCACTCAGGATAAGGTATAGTTGTCTGTTTTTATCGATGCATTCTTGGTGTATTTCCTTTCAAATATATTCTACCTTCAGCCCAAGAGTAGTCATTATTAGAATTATTCCGTTTTAAATGGATATCTGATATTGGCTTGTTGAGTTTGATCAGTTTGGAGTTCCTCTAACCATGAAGAGTTATTGTAGCTTTAAAAATGTCTTGGCCAGCAGAAAACCTAGCAGTTTAAAGAACTCTTTGGGATTTAGATTCTATTTAGTATCAGTAGATCAGAATACAAATGCCTGCCCTTGAGGTCACCTTTAGTGAAATAACAGATTGGCACACAAAATAAAGGATATATATTACCCATGAGTACGGGGTCCCATTAAAAAGCAATCTGTATGAGACCAAAAGGTCAACGATTAAGGCAGAGATGAGAAGACAAGGGGTAGAGGGCAAGGAAACTAGAGTTCTGGAAATGGAACAACAAGAACGCAATTAGTGAGAATGTTGACACATTGTGAAAAACGTAACTAATACAACTAAACAACTTGTGTATAACCTAATTTGCTGTGTAAACTTTCATCAAAAACACAATAAAATATTATTGAAAATAAAGAATACAAATACCCGATCTTTAGTTTAGTCCATTGAAAATCTAACTCCTTCACACTTTTATCTGAAATGCCCTGTAGGTTGATGTATGGGAACAGTGCAGCCATCTGTTGCGCCAACTCGGATTGTATAGAAATGCTCAAGTGCATAACGGCACTTCTAGCTGCATTGTTCCACTGAGGCTACAGCGGGAGAACCAACCAACAAATCCCGTGGCCAGGGTGCTGTGATTTAAACAAGCTAGACAGATAGCTCTTGTGTTTTCATTTGGCTCATTACTGAGGAAGCTTCCCTCTTTCTTTTTTAACAGTCTTCTGAGTCATAGCTTGAGGGTCTGTGCCAACTTTGTTTGAAAGTAAAACACCATAAATTTAAGTATCCAGACAGAGGATTTTTTGTTCTACACTGACCTTGATATTATTAGAGTATAAGGCTTGCTGCAGGCTTTTATTATAATCTGTATTTTTCCCCTCTTTTCTTCCCCTGAAGGCTGTTTCAGTTATTAACATCAACCCTAATACAACTGACTTCACTGGCAGCTGCCATCCTCAAACTGCTCTACTGAAGCTGAATAGCAGCAACATCAACTATCTTGACTTTGGCTTTGCTGTGGTGAGTAACATAATTTTCTAAAGTTTAGTTCATTCTCTTAGAAACACATCTGAAAGTCTGAGTAGTTGTCTGTGGGGGAGTATTTAGCTTTATTTTCCATTTCAGCACTACTTAATTATAAACATTGATCCATTGATCCCTGTTAATCCGTCAGGATCTCCTCAGAGGTCTGTGGGCTGGACTCTTGTATTAATATTCATCAAGAGTGGCCATGCTCCATCCAAGGCACAGCAATTGGTCTATTTGCCTGGAGTAACAGAGGAAGGAGGAGAGTCAGGAGTAGAAGGGAGGATATGTTACCCTCTGGGTAACACTACTGAATATTTTGATCAAAGATTCCATAGAAGAATCCTGATCAAAAGGGAGGAAATGCAGAATAGAATTTCAAATTCTCATGGACTCCAAACTTTCTGGAGCCATAGAGGGTAGATGAACCCCTGAAACTATTGCCCTGAGGTAATCTTTGAACCTTAAAACAGAAATATCCCTTGAAGTCGTCTTAAAACCAAACAATAGTTTAGCTCAACTAGAAAAAAAGGTCTGCCTTGAGCATTATGCTCTGTTAAGAACTATCTTTATGGGATCAAAGTGACAACAGCAACTTGAAAGATTAGAGACCTTATAGGGCAATGAGTTTATGTTAATGAGGGAGGAACAACTCAGAAAAGGAAGGTGAGAATGGTTGCACAACTCAAAAAATGTAATCTGTGTCCTTAAATGGTATATGTAGAAACTGTTGAATTGGTGTATGTTCTGCTGTATATATTCTCAACAACAACAACAAAATAAATTAAAAAAAGAGTGGCTGGGCTGCTATTATATAGACTCTAAAATAGGAGCAAAAATGAACCCACATCAAAAAAGCTATATATCTCATCTAGATATGTGCAAATAATTCCATGATGATAGTTTTCTCTGTTATTGGTTAGAAGAATTCATGTTTGTCTACTCTAATACTTTAGGCATTTTGGAGGATATACTGTTTATAATCAGAGTTATCGGTAATACTACTAGCTAACTTTGAGTACTTATTATGTACAAGGCTCTGTCTAAGTACATTGCATGCATTAATTCATTAAACCAGGATAGTTGGTAATGGCAACATGCAGGTTTTTGTGGTGGTTCCTGCTTATATCCAGGGCTGAACCTAAACAGAAGGTTTCAGGTTAAGCATACCTGTTCTCCCTCTTACTAGCAAAAAGTAATTATCAGAGACCTTTATTTCTACCTTCTGAGAAGCAATTATTATCCCCATAATTTTTGTGAGGTCTGTATGTGTATACGGAGCCCTGGTGGTTCAGTGGTTAAGAGCTCGGCTGCTAACCGAAAGGTCAGCAGTTTGAATCCCCCAGCCGCTCCTTGGAAACCCTATGGGACAGTTCTACTCTGTCTTATAGGGTTGCTATGAGTCGGAATTGATTCGATGGCAATGGGTTTGGGGTATGAGTATACATGTTAATGGCAAATGGGAGTAGGGGAATAAGTAGTGCAGAGATTGGCTCTTCAGCTGTATGTGGGGGGAAAATGTTGAGAATCACCAGTGTAAAGCACAGTTTCTCAAACTCGGAGTTTTTGTATAAGTGGAGAAAAAGAAGTTCTGCTTTTAAATCAGATTGCTTTATCTAGGAACGGAGAAGTAATCTCAACATTTGGTATATAAAAAGTAGATATGTTGTTTAGTTGTTTGTTTCATATCTGAACTTGGTATCTTGCATCTAAAGCATTTTTCTCTATAGAGTGTATGCCGAGTAATTGAGAATGATATTAGGCAATTATATTTGAGAAAGGTTTACAAAATTCTGTTTTCCTACCATTCAAATCAGTTCTCTGTTATAGTACAAATACAACCAGTGAGTTACTATTAGAAACATCTAATTAAGCTTGTCCTCTCCAATATGGTAAGAAAGAGGAGGTCTCCTCAGACAGATTCTCTTTTAAAGTTATCTCATCGAGATTATAGTCAATAAGAATGAGGAAAGTAATACTTTGAAGTTCATTCCCTTTTGAGTTCTTTATAGCTATGGATAGGATCTTGAAAAGAACATGGTTTCTTCTGAATTTCATGGGGAAATATTTAATATTTAACAATTCCACTATTTAATTTACATGGCAGACTGTTTTAAAATGTGATCCAAAATAGTGACATCTTAACCATAGTACAAGCATTTTGAAAAGTCAAGAAACACCTGCAGTGTCACCAGAGTTCAGTGGGTCCCCTATCACCTTCAATCCTGGTATGGTAGATGCTTCTAAGGATTGTTTATAGAATTTGAGTGTCTTACGTGCAGGATGCTGTAGTGGGATACAAAGAAGAAGGCCTGTGTTCTTAAGGTGCCCACAGTTTAGTGTAAAGATAGAAATGTACAACTTTTTCAGCCTTGTTTTGTGGAAGGCCTTCAATGCCATGCTAAAGCTTTTGAACTTGATTCTGTGGGCAGTAGAGTATATGGTGGATGGTGCATCCTCAGTGGGATGAATGTTGTACCAGAGGTAAAAACAAATGCTGTGGGAGAATCGAGGAGGGAGAGGTTCATTTTGGCTGGAGGAGAGTCAGGAATGTTTGATGGAAGGGGTAGCATTTGAGCTGGACCTTCAAGGATGGATAAGATTTATACATGTGGAAATAAACAGAGGACTGTAAAAGTACAGGTTATCCTTGGATAAAGGCACGCAGTCCAGTACAGCTGGGAGAATGAGGCATGTGGCATGCTTTGTGAAAGGTTAGTATGGAAAAATAGTTGGGACAAACTGTGGAGAGCCTTGAATGCCAAGCTGAGACATAGCGTAAGCAGAGGAGGGACATAAGGTTGACAAATCCTCCTTTATGCTTCCTCCTGAAATTTCTTCTGAGTCTGTCCTTTTGTTTTCATTCCTCACTGCTTGTGCCCTGGTGATAGCTCATATTACCTCTTGCCTAGACTATTCAAACAGCCTTCTAACTAGCTTCTTTTTCCCTCCCCTTCCCTAACCTTCTTTTGCATCACCTTAATCTTCCTAAAGCACAGTGATTCTGTGTTGCTCATGGGTAACATCTAAACTCCATAGCAGGGTAGTTCAAACCCACTCCCACCATACAGTGTAATCTGCATTTCCAGCCTTTGTTTTCTTTGCTTCCTCTTCCTGAATTTTATGCTTCCCTCCCACTGTCCTCTGTACACATCCTGTGAGGCAGGAGAGCATAGTGGTAACCAGTACTTAGGCTCTGCAGCCAGAGTTCCTGGGCTCAAATCCCAGCTCACTAACTGTATATCCTTAGGGAAAATTACTTAACTCAGTGCTTCCATTACCCAGTCTCAAAATGGAGATCATAACAGCACCTACTGCATAGGGGTGTTGCGTTTGATGATGCTTCATATGTAAAACTTTAAGAATAGTGCTTGGCACTTAGTAAGTTCTCAATAAATGCTGTCATCCTTGTGAGTATGGTTATTTTCTAACTGCCTTTGCTCATGCTGTTGCCTTCTGGAATGCCCGTTTTCCACTGGTTTCCTAACTAAACTGAATCCTGCGCAGGTCAGGTGCCCCATCCCTAAGCTTTCATTACTTTTACTCCTCCCCTGCGTAGAAGTAATATCTCTCCTATTAATTTTCATAACTTATCACTTTCTGTTTTGCAATATGGTTATTTATGTATTTATTTTCTCTTCCCTGGCAGATTACCAACATGGTGAGGGCAGGGTCCAAGTCTGATTCATTTTGCCAGCTCCCTGGAGCACTGAAACATGTTACTTTAAACATAGCAAGCGCTCAAATTAAAATGACTGGCTGAAAAGATTAGGAGCCCTGGTGGTGCAGTGGTTAAAGCGCTTGGCTGCTAACTGAAAGGTCGGTGGTTCAAACCCACCAGCCGCTCTGCAGGAGAAAAGATGTGGCTGTCTGCTTCCTTAAAGATTACAGCCTTGGAAATGCTGTGGGGAAGTTCTACTCTGTTCTTTAGGGTCACTATGAGTTGGAGTCGACTCGACAGCAGTGATTTTTTTTGGGGGGGGGGAGCTGATCAGATGAGTGTTTCAGAAAGATACCTCATAGCAATGAGAAGGAAAGATGAGAGTTGGAGAGGCTAAAATGCAGTGAGACCAGTAAAGAGGCTGTTGTGATCTGGGCTAGAGGTAAGTGGTAGGAGGAATACAATTGAAGGAGTGAATTGCAGAGTGTCCAAGAACCACGTGATTATAGCTGGGGTCCAAAACTTAGAAACTAATGCAGAAGCAAAGGGTTGCAGTCAAATTTTAAGTTCTCCTTTATTTATTTGCAGTTTATTCTGCTGACCCAGGTCTAATCCATGGTTTCATCTTCTGTGTAATAATAGTATTAGCTTGCTTTTTTCCGTAGATATTAGCTGTACCTGTAGACAACTGGGCTATATTAACTGGAAGCTCTTTTTCCAACAGAAAAATGAAAACCGGTTCTATCTGAAGGAAGTGAATGTCAGCGTGAACTTGGGAAATGGCTCTGGTAAGCATTGGCCTGGGGCAGAAGAATGTGGGTTAAACTGAAGGAACAGAAACCATAATTGTCTTGTTACCAAATAGTGCCTTATTTAATGGGACAGATGATTCTATGTAAAAATTGTACCCTAACCACAATTTAAAATTAATAACTTAGAACTAAGGTGTTCAACCTTTTGCAGTATCCCATATTTTCAAAGTATGGAGGATGATAAGATGTAGCTGATTTTAGACTCTAGAAATATCTATAGAAAGATAAGGGAACCTAGTGATAGTAAGAATTGCTTTTTGTTGATAGACCTGTGCCCCAGGCTCCCATACAATTGAAGACTCGTGAGGACGGTCCTGTTTTTTATGTTGATCGGAGAAAAAAGTTACTAACCTGTTTCTTTCTTTTAAAGTTTTCAGTTTTGTAAACAGTAATCTTAGCTACTGGGACGCTCCGCTGGGAAGTTCTTATATGTGCAACAAAGAGCAGACTGTTTCAGTGTCTGGAACATTTCAGATAAATACCTTTAATCTAAGGGTTCAGCCTTTCAATGTGATGGAAGGAAAGTATTCCACAGGTAAGAATCAGGCAAATTTTATTAATAATTTCTGCTCTTAAGTTGATTGATAAGTGGCTTTTCATTTGAGTCATGGAAATTTAAACATTGGAATTGAGACTATGAATTCAGCTCTTGACTTTTGTAAAGTTCTTAGCCTTGAGCAAGTTGTGTAGCTATTCCTTGATATCTACATATAGTACTTAAATTTGGCTCATTTTGCTCAGAATAGATATTTTTTTGGTGATGTGCAAACCATTCGGGACAAATTCTTAAAGCTAAAAACCGATGCAAGTTTTAAGTGAGCTTTGCTTAGAGATGCTCCCCCTAGGTTTTCATTGGTGGTAAGGAGGGCACTTGGGAGCACGAACAGTAAGTAGCCTTCTTGGTGCCATCTTCTGGCTGGAAACATTTTCGCTGAATGAAAGCAGTTTGGTCTCACTTTGTCAAGACTAAAGTTAGAGTGGTAGCAAAGCCTCAAATTTCGTGAACTATGTTTTTTCTAGTTAAAAGGATCTGGAGAGTTTTAAAAGACATATGCCAGTGTGAATTAGGCTGTTTGAAGATCTGCTCAGGACTAATGATGGTATATATCAGATTTTTTATGAAGTCCTTATTGAAGGGCTCATTACAGTTTTTTATATGAATACGGAAGATGTACGTGACATTACAAGATTAGAATTTGCATGAAGAAATAAAGTACAGAAAAATTCCTTTATTTACCTAACCTTTTCAACTGATTCCCAAAAACTGGGGATTTGTGGATCATAGCTCTGTTGAGTGGAGCTACTCCAGTTGTCTACATCCCTTTTAACAATTGACTCTCTGGTTTAGAAGAAAATGTAGAAGCAGTGTTTAAAAGTGAATATGTTGTGAGCCATTCAGTTGCTTTTGTAGTAGTACTGAATACCTAGTCTGAGTTGGTTAGACTAAAATAAACCAAGCTCTCCACCCTTTCGTTCTGGTGACTAGAGAGGTTAATCACACCTGAAAAATATTTTCAAGAATTCATTTTCTCTTTTGTTAGTTTTGCTTGTATATTTCCATTATTTTGATCCTTCCATGGCTTTATTTTTGGAGTCTTTATCTAGCTTCTCCATATTTTTAACCTTATTTTGGGCCCAATTTTGTGTTTAGAATTTAAAATTGTTTTGCAGTGTTAGTATCAGTTCAAGCCTGTTTGCTTTGTCAGCCTTAATAGAGATTAGCTGTGTTCCTTCTGTAATTTGAAACTTTGATGTTCATGTGCATAGAATAAAATATGTTACCCAAGGGGTATACAACATTTAATACTGATAATGAGTGTATAAGCTATTTGTGGAACTAGATTCTTGGCTGTAGGTACCTATAAATACAACACGCAAGTAATACTTGACAACAACAAAACACATTGCCGTGGAGTCGATTCTGACTCACAGCAACCGTAGAGGACAGAGCAGAACTGCCCCGTAGGGTTTCTAGGGAGCAGCTGGTGGATTCAAACTGCCCACCTTTTGGTTAGCAGCCCAGCTGTTAACCACTGGGCCACCAGGGCTCTACTTGACTGCTTAGAGGGAGGAAATAGAATTGTAGGAAGGTAAAAAAATGTTGATTGGATTTTACTACTCTCTAGAAATAGAAAAAATAGCTTCTGCAGGCTGCCAACCCTGACCAGAGATTGACAAGAAATGTAGTAAACAGGTTTTTGACTTTTAAGTCAGGGATCTGTACCCTTTTTTTCTGTAAAGGCCTAGACAGTAAATGTTTTAGGCTTTACGGCCATACAGTCTCTGTCAGAATTATTTAACTCTGCTGTTGTAGCACATGAACAGCCATTGGCAGTACATAAACAAATGAATGTGGCTGTGTTCCAATAAAACTTTACTTATGGGTACTGAAGTTTGAATTTCATATAATTTTCATGTATCACAAAATATTCTTCTTGTGATTGATTTTTTGCAGCTGTTTAAAAATATAAAAACCATCTTTAGCGCTTGGCTGGATTTGGCCCATGGGCTATAGTTTGCTGACCCCTTCTCCAAAGGAACTCCAGGACCAGCCTGGCTGTTCTGTTCCCCTGATACCTTCCAGATCTGTTCCATTCTCCCCAAAAGACATTTACCCTACTACTGAGAGGCTATGTAGAGGTGGGCTAGATTAGTTCTGTTCATTTCTGATGAAGTAAGGCTCCTAGTTTGAAAATGCTCCTATTTGTAATGTACATATACACACAAATATGTATGTATATATTCAATTTAATATAAATTGTATTCATGTATACATATTATGGGTATCTGTATACATGTGCACATACATGAGTGAAAGGACACAAATATGTTTTAGGATTTTAATTTTAGAATCCAAAATTTTCTATAGCTTTATCATAAAAATAGACCTGTCGTAGTTACTTAAAGTTGATCTTACAAGAGAATTTCTGACTTTTGAATCAATATCTTTTACTTTTGGACATTATTTTTTGCTTATACTCATTATTTGTTACACACTTTTTCTCATCTACAGCCCAGGAATGTTCGCTGGATGATGACACCATTCTAATACCAATTATAGTTGGTGCTGGTCTTTCAGGCTTGATTATCGTTATAGTGATTGCTTACCTAATTGGCAGAAGAAAAAGTTATGCTGGATATCAGACTCTGTAACACTAATACGTGTTACTGCTGTTACCAAATAATAAAGCAAGTACAAGTTCCAACATGAAATAATATTCAATTTAAGGTATATTTAGTTGTAGTCCTCATCCTGGAATGGGTGGTATGGGGGATTTCAAATTTAAACAAACAAAAATCCCGAAAAACTATAAACTACAACTTAGTCACGTGATTTTGGTTTTCCCAACCAAGAAATTTAAGCCCTGGTGGCACAATCGTTAAGCACTTGGCTGCTAACTGGAAGGTTGGCGGTTTGAACCTACCAGCCACTCCGCGGGAGAAAAGACCTGGCGATCTGCTCCCTTAAAGCTTAATAGCCTAGGAAGCCCTTTAGGGCAGTTCTACTCTGTCACATTGGGTCGCTGTGAGTCAACTCCATGGCACACAACAACATTTATACAGCAAAAGGCATGTGCAAAATCACCTGGACTATAGGTTTTATTTTATTGTCTTGAATTAGTATTTCAGTGTTTTCAGTTTAGATATTCTGTCTTTAAATACACAATTTAGGAAAAAAGATTATTAAAAGTTTTTTTTTTCCCCTGCATGTAGTTTAGTTGGGACAACATGTTCTGCGTTGAATTTGTACTTGCTCTTTTTGCACTTCTTTGTAATTTTGTTTGCAGGTTAACTTAGCTACTCTGGCATTGCTGCATATTTGACCTATGAGAGATATGCCAGTAGATCTGAACAGGGCCTAGTATTATGTTTTTAGTAATAAATGCTTTTCTAATGCTTTTTGAATACATTTGTATTTAATATGGCTGCAATGGCAAAAGCTACAGAAACCTTTTAAACTTTAGGTGTTAAATCTTATTTAATCCTTTTAAAAAAACTAAATATTTCAACCTTTTGAAGTACAAGACACAGAACTATTCCAACTAGGCATTTCAATCCAGTTTCTAGGTACTTTAGAGATAATTGCTAGGCAGTGCCAACTTAGAGCATTAGTCCTTTGTACCGTAAATTGGCCTCTACATACCAAAATGGTTTGCTTTCTCATATAAACATTAGGTGGTGCCTGGTAAATGAACAATTGGTACATCGGAAATTAATGCAGATTTCTCTTTAGCCTTTCAGTATTTTTGTTAGTGGTGGTGTTTTTTTTTTCTTTCCTTTTTTTCTTAATAAAGAAATGCCAATATATGTTAGAGTCTAGATAAAGTAGTACACTTACGCTTATAAAGTAACTTGCACCTAACCCAAAAGTCTTGGTCTTCTCTTAGTGGTGTCCATTAAAAAGTCATTCTTTGTTTCCAGCTGGCATTGATTGCTATACCATTTACTAATTTGGCTTTCACATTTAAATGGTTTTGTGCTAATCAAAACTTACATTGTTATTGTTCATTACGGTAGAATCATTATTGATTCATGTATTCTGTGTGCTCTGGAGAGATGTACCAATTGTCCATTTACCATGCACCACCTAATGTTTATATGACAAAGCAAACCATTTCAGCCTGATAGTTGACACATCTAGTATTTCTTGCTGCTTCTAGGAGACTTTTTTTATATTGGAATGGCTGAGCAAATATTTGAAAAACTATTAATATGCAGCCATGTATGGAAGATTCTTTTTTTGGGGGGAGGGGTTACCTGCCTTCACATTGACTAGAAAATGAGATATCTGGGTTCCAAGATACTATTGATGTTGAATAAATTTGATAGTAAAGCTATATATGTATATATATATATATATAGGCAATTACATGTTAGTATATGTATGTCTGTAACTGTCTTTTAAATTATATTGGAGTGATAAATATATTCTCTCACTCAGAGTTAATCTCTGTTTAAAGTAGCTGGCAAACCTTACTAATGCAGAATCAGATTCCCAACTAGCCTCCCTTTTAGAGCTACATTGAGCTGTATTGCCAGGTTAAAATACTTCTTAAGCACTAAATAAAAGTCTGATTTTCAAAAGTTATTTTTTAATTTAAATAGTGTTGTAGTGTGTAATTGTTAACCCTTATAAGAATGGATAATGCTTATAAGAATGTGGGCCTTAGATGTTTCTCATAAGTTGAAACAAAGCAGCTCTGCAGCTTTTTTTTGTTTTTGTTTTTTAATAAAAACTGGAAGCATAAATGGGAGGCACTGGCTTAGTGTTGTTGATGTTTCTAAAACTTTTTACATTTAGATTATATACCTGATTCATATTAAAATACCTCTAATAACCACTGTTTTATAGAAAATCTGACTTCACTGAGTATTTTTGTATTTTACATGGGCCAGTTTATATATTGCTATTTACGTTATTATTTCGTACAGCCACATGTTCTATTGTCGTTTTATTTGTTCTACTGGGTTTACACCTTGATGGTAACACTCTATTTGGTTTTGGGTGTCTTTCATGTGTTAGCATTTGTATAAAGAAACTGGTTCATGTAAATACTTCCCATGTTTTTTTTCCTCAAATGTTTAAACCACTAGTTGCTGTATGGTACTTTTCTTTAGATATTTGCCTGTCCATTTGCTCAACATACTGCTTCAAAACAATAAAGATTCTTTTATTTCTTAAGGAAACTTGCTCACATTTTTTTCCCCCATTGGTTAAGATTCTGTATACTACATAATGAGTTTCTAGAAGCTCTTAGAAGTGAACTAAAGTATTTCCAAAATGTCCTGTGTGTTACTGTCTGGAATAGTGGTCCCATATATAGGTCTTGACTGATGCTGGGCTGGCTACAGAATAAGAATTACCTGGGAAGCTTGTTATAAAAATACAGATTCCAGGCTCTCCATTCCTAGAGAATTTAACTTAGCAGGTCTGGGATTGGTGTGTGTGTGTGCGCCTGTGTGTGTGCGTGTGTGTGTAAGCTCTCCAGTTGGATATGATGCATAGCCAGTTAGGGAACCAGTGATCTGTTTATTCCATAGTAAAAGCTTTGGAGTACCTTTTTGTCCACTTTTCTCAACTCCTAAATTGATGCTGATGTTTAATATCTAGATAGCTGCTTTACGTCACAAACAAACAAATTGAGCTATTGATCAGAACCAAAGTAGGATTATGTGCGATCTATCTCTTAGATCATCCTAAAATTCTTGAACCTTTAATTTCCAGATAGCTTCCCAGTCACCTTAGTATATCACACAAGAAAATTTAGCAACCTAGCCAGCAACTTTCTTCTGGAGTAACCCAGTTAAGCCATTGAGACTGCCAGTTAATCATCATGGCTCCCAACTGTGCTAATAGCTACAATATGACCTTGGCCAAGTTACTTAACTTCTGGGGGTCTCAGGTTCTTCATCTGGAGCCTGGGGGCTTTAAAATCCTTTTATTTTTAGTGCTTTGCATGACAATTTCCATTTCAATGAAGATAAATATACATTAAAACATTTTTAGGAATAATCTGTTAAGTAACTCCTTGTCAGGTATCGGCATACTTTACACACAATATAAAATACACCATCTTAAGTTCCCTTATTTTTTAGGAGAAATTCTCAAAAGACCTGACTATTTCTAAGATTACAGCATTTCGTCCCTGTTTATTTAGGTAGATAATGTTAAATTGTCTTGAGCTCATCTCTCTCCCACCCATCTCTTTATCTTTTACCCTAGTAGCTAACTTTATGCATTAATAATGACCATATCTTGTCTCTGAAACTGGTATATACATGTATGGTGTGATATTGAGTAGCTTCATGTAGCTTTTCAGATCTATGTGATATGCTTCAAATAGTTTGACTATATGTTAAGCGGTTTATTTTTTCTCCTCATTTATTTTTATTTTGTTGTTGAGAATATGCACAGCAAAACATACACCAGTTCAGCAGTTTCTTACATGTACAATTCAGTGACATTGATTACGTTCTTGGAGTTGTACAATCATTCTCACCCTCCTTTTCTGAGTTGTTCCTCCCTCATTAACATAAACTTGCTGCCCTTAAGGTTCCTATCTGATCTTTTGAGTTGCTGTTGTCAGTTTGACCCCATATAGATAGTTCTTAAAAGAGCGTAATGTTCAAGGCAAACATTTTTTTACTGGTTAAACTATTGTTTGGTTTTAAGAAGACTTCAGGGAGTATTTTTGGTTTAAGGCCTAAGGTTTAAAGATAATCTCAGGGCAGTAGTTTCAGGGACTAAAAGGTTTATTCCTAATGCCAGCTCTTCCAAAGAGAAATTTTGATACAGTTGGTTTTTAAGAGGAGTCTTTGTTTTATATTTTGTTGAAATGTATATCTTAACTTTCACACTGAAAATTGTATTTGAAAAATCCCTAACAAAATTAAAAATAAAAAGTATTTTTTAATCTACATCAAACTTTTAATTGAAACTTCAGTGGCTGTGAAACTTTTTATTTTTAAAAATCTACTGCTTCTGTGACTATTAAACTCTTCCACAAATATACATTTCTTTTCCCCAGAAATATTTTCACTACTTTCTTACGTATACATCAAGCGATAGATCAGGTCAAAATGACTTGTAGAATGAGATTTTATTTTCTTTAGGATGCAATCCTATTAAAATTACTACTTTACCAAAATTTCTTTCCATTACCTAAAAAATTATTTTAAAGGTTGCATTCATAAAATCAATAGTTATTGTAAATTAATATTTCACATACTAATTGAGAGCATTTTAAGTAAGTGACAGCATCTAGAAAGATCTTTGTATTAGCAGAATTGCCTTTTTGATCTACTCTGGGAATATTTGTCTTACATGAAAGCCTTATTGGCAGTATTTACGAAAGTCGTTTCAGTACTAGGTCAAATACCCAATTTGGGAAAGAGGAGACTCTGGATCTCTTGCCAGAATAAGAAATTAATCTACTAATGAATTTTTTAAAAACCAAGTTATATTGAATCCAAGGCATAAATACTTTATGGCACATGAGCAATATATTTCAGCTAATAGTTTATTTGCTGGGTGGTAATTTGTGGAATTGAACGGGAGGAGCTAACTGGGTACTCTTAACACCATATATTCAGAAGTCACATTTGGTAGGTAACCTCAGCTATCTTAATTTTTAACAGAATCAAGAAGCAAGTAAAAAATTAGATCATTGAGCTGGCAACCAAAGTCGATGCCATAAAGCCCCAAACTCCAGAATTACCATTTGTTCCCAGTTATTGCCCACCCCCCCAAAAAAACAAAAAACAAACCTGTTGCCGTCTAGTGGATTCCGACTCAGCAACCCTCTAGGACAGAGTAGAACTGCCCCCAGAGGGTTTCCAAGGGAGCAGATGGCCACAGCTTTATCCGTTGGAGCTGCTGATGGGATCAAGCTGCAGACTTTTGGTTAGCAGCAGAGTGCTTAACCGCTGTGACACCAGGGCTCCTTGTTATTGCCGCAGAGGCTAGCAAAAGCCTGGAACATTTCTTGAATGCAAGGACAATCAGAATTGCCTTGCAACCTATTCATGCTTATTTTAGACAGAATTCTAATAAGCTTAATTATTTCATTTATCAGTCTGGTAGATTGCAAGCAGCTACTAGGAAGGGAACTAGGGCAATAAGAGGTCAAGAAATGGAAAATAGTGAGAAGTGGCAGTTCAACATCTTAGTCCTCTCCTTACTTCGCTGCATCTGTACTATTCCTTCCTCTTTCTCAGTCTCAGAGGAGGTGGTTTTCTTTTCCTGATCAGTGATTATGGAATCCCATTCCTCCCACCTCCGAGGAGACCTTGTACCCTTCCTTCAGCATCTTCAGCCTGTCAGTTGCTAATGACTATTTCCATCATTTCTATAAACATTTAAATCTCTTCCACTCTGAAGCTATGTTTTCCTGTACTTAGGCACCTGTCTAACTACCTCCCTATTGTCTTAATCATTCTAAACCCTTGAATGGAGTATTGTATGTTTCCCATCTCAAGTTCTCTATCTAACCCATCACTTCCCATTCACTCCTATACCTGCAGCCCTTTGACCCATACCGCCCACTCTCCATGTTGCTAGATCCAATGGACATTGCTCAAGCTTCTCTATTATCTTAGACTCTTTTCTCCATCCTAATTGAAAATGTTTCCTTACTTGCTTTCTATGGCACCATTTTCTACCTTCCCTTTCTCCTTTTTCCTGCTCTTTCTCCTTTTGTCTACTCAAATATTGGTGTTCCCAAGGGTGTTTAGTCTTTGGTCCTCTTTTTACTGTACTCGCCCTCACTGAGAAACATCTGTGTCCATGGTTTTAACTACCACTTATGTTCGTCAACAACTTGGTTGTGACACAGGCCTCTTAAACTCAGCATATCAAAAACTGAACATCTCCTTCCACATCTCTCTCTCCATCCCCCACCCCCCACAAAATAACTACAAACAAAACAAAACGGAAATGTGCATATTCTTCCTTCTAAATTTCCTCCTCATGATGAATGGCACCATCACCTACCTAATCACCCAAGTGTGGGAGTGGAAATCATTCCGTTATCTTCTCCTAGCACACTCCAACATCTGTTTGGTCAATTCTGCCCTCTAATTAGCTCCCCAGTCTGTACCTTCTGTATCTGTACTTCACTAACACTGTTCAGGACCACATTATTGGTCACATGGACTCTAGCAACAGAGCGCCTACTAACTCACTACCTCTAGTTTTCCATCTGCCATAACTTCTGAAACAAATCACCACCACCACCAGTTGCCTTCGAGTCTATTCTGACTCATGGTAATCCCATCTGTGTCAAAGAAGAACTGGAAAATAGTGATAAGTAGAAGTTCAACATCCTAGCCCCTAGGGTCATCAGTGGCTGGTCTTTAGAAGTAGATTGCCCAGCCTTTCTTCTGAGGTGCCGCTGGGTGGACTCGAATCTCCAACCTCCTGGTTAGTAGCCAAGTACATTAACCATTTGCATCACCCAGGGACTCCCTGAAACAAAAACCCTACTTAAAACCCTACAGCCCTTTTCTTTTGCCATCAGGATAAAGCCAAACCACTTAGAGCATACAGTGTCTTTGTGAGCTGATTCTAGTATACTTTTCCTGCCTCCTGTCCAGCCAAGAGTACCACTTGATCCATTGTTCCAGCTATGCCAGCCTGCTTGCATGCCTCCTGAAGTGCCATGTTTTCTTATCCTCCATATTTTTGTCTGTGATGTTTCCTGTACCTGGAATGCCCTTCTCCTATTATCTGCATGGTTAATTCCTACTCATCCCTAAAAACTCAGCTCAAGTGTTACCTCTTTTAAAGTGTGTCTTGTGTAACAAGGCTGAGTTGAGTGTGCTTCTGGAACACTTCCATGACACTCTGTGTGTTGCCCCTACCACAGCACATTTTGAGATTAGAACCACTGATTTTCTTGACTGACTCACACTAGACTGAGCATCTTGAGGCAAACAGTTATGCCATCGGGACCAGTTTTTCTTATTCTGCCACTAAACAACCCTAGATTACTATGCATTGAGTTCTTATGTCTGATTTGTATAGTTGTTCATTTGGTGAGTTAATATTTACTTCACAACCCACAGTATTTCA